ATTGTGTAAATGTTATAGGTATATTAAGGGCCAGAATTCGAATTTTCTGTAAAATTGGCTCCCATAAGCTCACGTAAAAGTCTTTGCTTTTTCAATTAAAAAAAGTCTCTACGATGAACCATTGTTGAAAAAAGTACCACACACTGAGCATATCTGGATAAGAAGTGTGTTCTGAGAAAAAAAAAGCTGCTCTTGAAAAATTCTTATAACTTTTGACGAGAGTATCGCAGAGAGCTCACAAATATCTCATTTTGAAGACAAATGTTTGCCTGACATTTCCAAATAATAAAATCATGAACATTAATCAAAATTTGAGGCGGATTTTGAAGATTTTCAAAAATCTGGTCTTTTACGCGTTTTAGAAAACGTTTTCAAAATCCCTCAGAAATCATAGATATATGATTTTTTAGGATGGATTCTGAAAGTAGACACCAAAGGCTGTCCTAGCATATGCATAACTTTATATCGCAATTTTTACAAAAAATTCGAATTGCTAGGGGAAGACCCTTAAATAAATATTTTTGAATTATATATAAGGCAGAAAATAACAAATAACATCAGAGCTGTAATCAATATGTTTTAAACTATATGATGTCATTTTTCCCTAAAATGTATAACAAAAATAGATTCATACGTGAGAGTGAGAATTAAAACACACGAACGATGATTTTGATGTATTCTCAGTATCAAATGTCCTATTGTCTAGGCATTAACTTATTCACTGATCAACAGAGTTCTTGATGATCGAATAGATCCGAAACGATTTCCACTCTCAACGTCTAATGTCCTTTGTTTTTACAATGGAGTTCGGTCATTAAAATATTCCATGTCATTTTTGCTTTATATTTTAGAACTGGCTGGAGATGGTGAAAAGAAAGCGGATGCACCCGGTGAAGAAGATCCGGAGGTAAATGAATTTTTGTTTTAATCGTAGCACATATGGGTAGATTTTCATATGCTGGTTCGATTTTTTACATTATTTGAATCCAAAAGAGCTATTGTTCAAACATCACTGTAAGGTTTTTACATTTTAGTCTAAAACATAAATCAGAAGTTTACAGTTTCTATTTTGAGACGACTACAATGATTAAATGCAGAGAAAACTTCATCGGACGCATCAGTGGTCGTCGTGGGACAGAAATCTCATGGAACACTACGGAACGAGATGAAACTTTTAAAGTATCCGTGAGACAGGATAGGACAAGACAGACAAGTCATAGAACTGGACGGGATGGATGAAAGTTTTGAAACTATATATGGGACGGGACAAAAACTTCATCCCATGGGAAATTAGTCTATTGTATTATTGAATTTTTTAGATTCATTTATGAACTAAGCTTGAGTTGTCATGTGCCGATCACTCGGCTTGTGATATTTCACGCGGTTGGTCATATAACATGTTTCGTAACCTCGTCTCATTCTCTTAAAGTGTGATATTTTCTTCTCTTGACTGTAACATAATGTAATGTGGAATAGCAAATTTTTACAGTTTCATACGTCGAAACTAGAAAAATACCTACCGCAGAAACTCTACTTAACAAGAAATAGTTTTTAAGAAAAAACATTGTAATGGGATCCTATGAGATTTTAGGGGACGAAAATTTTTGAATACTCATAAGACGGGATGAAATGGGACTAAAATGTTTTGAAGCCCATAAGACGGGATGGAAATTTTCCGAACGTTCATAGGCATAAGATAGACAGCATAAGATTAAAATATTTTTCTGCAAAAGAAAATTTTCGTCCCATCCCCATCCCACGGCGACTTCTGGTACGCATTACCAAAACAGAAGTTTAGAGATCCAATAGTGTTGTAAACTACTAACAGTACAAAATGTAAGCACTATGCTGATGAAAAACGTATCAGCATAGTACTTTTGGTTCCTTTTGTGATTATAAATGTCGAATAAAAAGTGTTATCAAAAAATAAATCATATATTACAGTAAAAATATAAGAAATATCACCATCACTTTCTTCATACATCAGTGTTCATAATTCAGTGTTATTTTACTATCATATAACGTTCTCTTCTTGACTATGATGTTTATGTGCTGCCATCTATTTAAAAATATTATTTACATTTTTTTCTTTCAAATAATTTGAGTACCTCGATTATAATACATTTGAGAAGAATAAATAAAGTTCGACATTAGACAGTAATTTTAATTGTTAATATCATTGATAAACGATTTTTGATAAGACATGGCATGGATAGGTAACAATTTATAAGAAATGATTATCTACGTATTTTCTTCAAACGGATACATCCACTATGTTCATTAGATCAATTAAACGTTAAGTCAGAGAAGAAAAGTATTCACATAGAAATTGTTCTTCTCAATGAACATTGCTGTTGATATGTTTATTTACTTCTTCTTAAGTAATTGACACTTGATTTTCCTTATTAGTTCTAGTATATTTCAATGTTTTAGAAAAAAAATAAAGTTTGTATTAGATTTTGAAATAAGAAATAATTTGATTTAAATTATCCGTATTAGAAATGTGCTCCCTTCAATCAAATGAGGAATAAATGAACTAATTATGTGTATAAGGTGTTTAAATTTAATTAAAGACAATTTTCTAAATATGCCAAAAAAAAAACCAGACTCTTTTTTTCTCTTCTCTATTAGAATTTTTATTTTCAAACTACAATAATAACGTATATTAAAGTAAATGATGAGTGCGTGTTTTTTTATATATAAAATATTTTATTGAAAACATATGGTTATATGAGGAAATAATTATCAAAAAATTATATTTCAATTTAGTTTTGAAAATAAAGCACTTCTTCTCTTTGTTCGCATACTATATCGAATGTCTTTTGTTTTTTATATAATAGATAGAACAATAAATGAAGAAATTAACTCTTTTCTTCCGTTCCACTTACTATTTGTCAATTAATTTTTGAAGATCATATAGAATTTTCGAACCGAGATGGACAATATTCGATATTAATTTTTTTGAAGATCGAGTTCTAACTATTTAAAGTAAACAAAAAGGAAATTGCTCAACGGTCGAGAGTAGATAGTTTGGCTACTTTCACTTGAAACGACAATAAATCATATTCAAATAAGTTTATATATTAACAATGTAAAGTTAAAATAATTTTTTTTTCGATTATAATAGTCAAAATTTTTGTCCTATTTAGTTTTGTATAAACTTCAGAAACTTTTCTAAAAGCAAACAGACAATTATCGTATAGATACATTCACTACTTCCGGAGAGCATGTTTTCAAATTTTTTATTTTTATTTTAAATAAACTAGCCAACATTCATCTATGATTTTACTCAGTCTTTTTAACATTGTATGTATTGTTATTAATAGGAAGGAAAAAATGTTTTCATATTAGACAATCTAATGGGCAAGTTTTTCAAATAAAATTTTAAGAATAATAATAGTAGCTGAGTAAAATGATTTTCATTTATTCACGATATTTTGACCTTCAACAGTCATTATCAACTAACAAATAAACTGTAAAAGATGTCAAATTTTATTTAAAAATCATGAGAAAAGCTTGATAACATTGTCATGTATCCAGAATCAATATGATATGATGATCTATCAAAAAGAATTCCATTGTGCACACCTTGTTTTGGTGTATCAGTGATTGCTTTTCTAACAGTTCTATTTTTATTAATTCACTATCAAATAGATATTGTTCAGTTGCCACATAAATAATTTATTCATAATACTTTTGACATTTTTATATCAACATGTACATAAAATCTTGGCAAAATATTTTACAAAAATTTTAGATCCACTAGAATATTTAACATTTATATACCCGACGACATACTATAAGACATGTGTAACAACAATTCCGTTTTATGACATTATATGTATCCTATACAATGGTGTAGGTTACGTCTTTTATATTTTGCCTAATATCAAAACGTATACACACACCGTCTTTCTGTATTTATTATGAGTGCATTCATCTACATATATTAGTCCAAAAATATTAACAGCGCCTAAAATATTTGATTATTAGTTTTTGTTTTCACTTTTTGCTGTTGAAAATAACATCATTCTAAATAATAATCAGAAATTATTATTTTTGTATATTAGTTGCGATGTAAACAGACAAATAGACGAACAAACTATTTATTTCATAAGATCCTGACTTTTGTCAAGAGAATAAAAAGAGTGATCAATTAATTACATATTCAAAGTAAAGTTGAATCGTATGTCTAAAAACTCCCACTAAATTTTATCTATAGATAATGAGACTGAACACATTGCAGGATATGTCAATATGTAGCAAATGAAAAAATAATGTTTCTTGTCTGCATTACCGTGTTTTTTCCTTCATCCTCATCTTATCAAGAAAAGAGAAAACTAGGGTGCTTTTGTTTTTATCTAATAAACTCATTATTGAAATAAAGAAGGAGCAACAAAAATTCAAACTCCTTAACTATGGGTCGATCAGTCGACGTAAGAAAACATACAATAGAGTAATATATGTAGGAAAAACACTACGCTTTTCCTCTTCACTCTCTTCTATATTTTTTAAAAGAAAATGAGAGGGTACTATTCTATATTTTAGTTCTTCTGTTTTCTCTTCTTCAAAGTTAATACAGATAGTGTTTCATGAATTATATTTTTTATCGTTTTGATTATGTTTTTTATTATTTCAAAATTTCAAAAGAGAGAAAAAAATGGTTTGCTTCTGTTTGAATAGAAAATGATCAATTCTAAGACAAGTTTAAAGTATATTCAAAATATTCGTATATTTGTTAATTCATGTGAAGAAATATATAAAAAAAGACAAATGGATTACGAAGTTATTCAACAATAAATAATATCCTCTTTTTAAAAAGAAAAAAGAACAACATACTCTTATCAAATTGCTTAAACAAATCGATGTTAATGGCTTTATATTTCCTAAAACATTATTGTTCAGTAAAAATTATTTATTCTTAAAACTCAACGTGTTCATAATTTTATATATATAAACATCAGTTATGTTAAACTGTTTGTCTAACACATAATTTTCTTATGGATAAATTTGGTACAAATCTTTTTCCTTCGACAATATCAACGCCAGTTAATCGACGACGTTTTAGTCTTGCACCAACATTTAATACACCATCAACAACACCAACACAAACACCGGTAAATCGACGAAAAAGTATGGTTCAAACACTTAGTAAATCAGCGGTAAGTTGATACCATTCAAAAATAACAAAAACAACAGAAACCAGTAATAATGCAATATTTTAACATAAATTTGATAATATTAAACATATTAATCGTATATTTTCATTCTCATTTTCTGTTATTTTTTATGATACTTTCTAAATCATTCGCCATATTAACGAAAAACTAAATATTTCAATAAGATTTAACCAGTAAGTTGTTATCAACAATCATAGACCCAATTAAGTATCTAATTTACATTTTGTTAATAATAGATTTGTTTTTAGACATTCGATTCGTTGTTCACCTTTTCTGGATATACAAAAGAAGTGATCTTGTGCACGATTTTCGATTATGACACCAAAATATAAAACCTTGTCAAATACTGATAGAAATAAAATTTTTTTTATTGATATTCGTTTATAAAAAAATAGACCAAAAAGTTTGACAGACAGTTTAAAAAAATATTTTAGCAAATATTCCCACTTTAGTGGAAAATGTTGATCTCCTGAATGTAAAGTCGATAGTCGATACAACGTGAGTGATATTCAGATTATTTTTTGATTTAAGCAAAGGTTATTATATAAGAAAAAAAATGAGTTTTTTAATCGTTTAATCAGATATGAGGAAGGATTAGGATTTTTATGTAACACTTTATAAGTGAAAACAGAAGAATTAGGATGAATTAAGCAAGACTAATTAAAGGAAGACTAGTCATCCTACTTAAAGTATTTTTTTCCATATTTCACGAGTAAAAAACTAAGAAAAACATAGCATAAGAGAGCGAGTTATTTTAATTTAAATGATGAATGTAGATGAACTTTGTGATAAAGTTGTGGCTGTATGAGACGAAGATGTTGGAGAAACGAATGTGATATTTTCTTTCAACTCTCTAATTTTTTCACGGTGTTAATCTTTCTTCACATGCTGTACTATCGACTGCCACCCTTTCTTCCCACAGTCTAATTCGCCCGTTTTACACAATGTACATACGAATGGTGATTCCTTAGCATCTTGCTTTAACAATTGTCTCACAAGATCTTCATCTACTGTTTTCTGTAACCACGAATGATTGAATTTTGTTTCATATGACGGCATTGATAAAAAGATATATCTGAAACTACTTTCAGATCTAAAAATAGCGTGAATTTTGGTATTTTTGCTAAAATATCCTAGAAAAAGAGGAAAATTAGCTCAGAAAGAGGAGAGGCCTTGGATTAAAGAGGAAACGAGGAGTATTACGAATCCAGGTTCTCAAGAGTGTCTATCTATCTATCTATCTCTCTATATATGCGAGTATCTATCTATCTATCTATATATCTATATATATATATAAGGCAGCGGATGTTGGGGTTTTTTTTGTGTACTTTATTATTAGATTCAGTCATTCGTATAATTTTTCTATTCTGAACATCAGATTCTAAATACTTCTGGTTAAAAAAACATGCCGTTTTAATTTCTTCATCCCCACTCAAATGTCTGTAAATGATGTCCATTAGGGTATGAAATTTTGATGTCTCACTTAGAAGTCACCTGCGTAGGATGTCATTCAATGACTCAAGTCATTTTTATGTATTAATTTTAATTAAAGATCGGAGATATGATGAACTAGACGAGCGAGATTTTATATAATGCTCAATTGTGTCACGTGAAAAATATGTTTTCTTCTCGCCAGACGTCATAAAAATATACTTCGCCTCTTCTCTTTTTATCGATCACATAGTAGGAGTTGAAAGAACGACAAAAACGTTTCTTCAGGCCAAATTAGTATAATAAATTCAAATAAATAAAATTTTTTATCACATCACTTCTTCTTTTTTTTTGACATGAATTAAGTGGTATTGCTAAATATTGTTTATCTAATGTATTATTATCATTTCATTCGTGCCTCTCTCATGAGAGTAAATCTTCTCTTGTTATTTATCGAAGATCTTTTTTTTTTATCTTAATCATAATTTTTATAATATGAGTATGTGCATAGAAAAAAGTTGATTAATAACTAATATTTCCGTAGGAAGAGGAAATAAGTAAACTGGATTCTCATTTAGACAATGTCTATATAATATTTTTACAGTGTGAAATCAAGTAAAATGATTACTACACTCAACAAAAAATTATAGGTTAAAAGGTTGAAAGTCAATTTAAAAGAAACAATTTTATGTTTTGTTTTTTTATTTTTGTTATTGTTTTCATTTGTTCTATAGTATTAGGATATTTGTTTAATAACAGAACATTACATATAAATTTAGATTGCAGAAGCACGACGTGAAGCCGATGAAAAACGAAAAGCAAAATATGCAAAAATGGAACGTCAACGAGAAGAAGTTCGACAACAAATTCGAGATAAAGTAAGTTTTTAAAAAAAACTACAAATAGAATTATCGAGATACGGAAATAGTCGACTTTAGTAATTTTTTTCTATTTTTTTTTTGTTTTTTTCTTCTTCAGTACAATATCAAGAAGAAAGAAGAACCAGTTGCACAAATTCCACCACCATGTGATGGTCGAATAACATCCGAGAAGAAAGGACCACTATTTTTGCCAGACGATGATGACAGTAAGTCAAATAAATTATGATATAATTTTATTAAATATATATATATATTTTCTACAAATAACTTGTAGGTTTTGATCCGGTTAAAATGGCTTCCAATGCTCTCAGTACTATTACTGAAAAGTTACCGTTTAAATTACCATGGAAATAATTGATGGATTATCAGAAATTATAAAAAAAGCGAACAAAAAATGAAAAATATTTCTTATATGCAATAGTCTATTTTATATATGAATTTTTGTTTTTAAATTGAACAAGAAAATAATATTATGTTTCATGAATAATTAATTATTCAATCTTAAACTGAGATTTTAGTCAATTTAAAGAACATGTTCTCATTTATTTTTTATTTTAAAAGAAATATTATTATTTTTTAATTTTTTTGTCATTTATTTATTCTATTGGATTTTCATGGGCAAATAGTCAGCCTCTTTTGTCTGTGTATGTGTCTGTGTGTGAACATGTTATTCAATTTTCTTTCATATTTATCATACAAACTTCCAAATATCTAATTCAAATGACAAGAGAATAATTGAATATATTTTGTTTAAATACTGTTTAAAATATATAGAGAGAGATATTTTCTTCTTTTTCTTTTTCTTTTTTTATTCATGTCAATAAAATTATGTGGTAAAGTGTTTTTTTTTCTTTTTTTTTCTTTTACTTGTTGGCCGACATAATTTTGACACATCTTTTTATTTCCCATTTACTTGTTCTTTGATGAAAATGTGCCTGCGCAGATAGAAACCTTATTCCAAATATTTTAATTTTATTTTGACTATTTGTTGTTGTTATTCATGTTTTTTTATTCGTATAATAAAAGAAAAAAATGATGTCTACTACTTTGTTTATCTATTATTTTATTTTTCTAAAAGACATTTTTAATTATCAGTGAAAATGGACATAGTTAAACAAAGGATCTATATTACATAAATATCAAAAATAGTAAATATTTTATAATTATTCTAAGACAGAAAAGAAATAGACAGTTTGTTTTTTAGCTTTTTTCTACATAACATCACATTCTATTCACAAACGTGCACATATATACACACTCTATAGATGAACAGCAGTAAAAAAGAAACGAAAATTTTTTAGAATCAGATTGATTTGTAAACTAGAATGATACAAATATTGTTGTATATCTACAATGTTTTAAAATCATGTTCAGTTTGTGTAATATTTTTTACACGTGATTTTAAATAACCGTAAGATTTTTCATCAGAAAATAGTAAAACGAATATGATGATAATAATACTTACTATAGTTAACAAAAGTAAAGTAGTTAGTAAAGATTTTGTTTTTTCTCGTATGTGCATAATTAGACTATAGGGTAGTGTAATAAATAAAGTTAGAAAAACATTGCCAATACGATAAAAAGGATAAAATAATTGATGAATACGCTTATAAATTAACATGTAAGCCATATAGATTGAATGAAATGGCAATAAAATAGCTAATATTCCATTGATAATCCAGTGTATGAACAAGGGTAATCTTGCAATTGTATTATTTAAGGTTACAATACTATAATTAATAACAGAAACAAATCGAAGTATAGCATGTATAAAGTTATAAATAATTTGAATAAATAAAATAATTTTTTTAAATGGATTTTGTGAACGTTGTGTGGACGAAAAAGAAGATCTTTGAAACAATGGTCTGGTATTCGAACGATGAACAAATCTGAAATGAACAAAAATAATGTATGATGCGTTATAAAACTGAGATCATAAACAATAGTTAGAGATGTATATACTCACTGTTTATTTCTATTTGACACATAACTGACATGAACTGAGCTTGTTAAACTCATTTTCTGTTTTCTATTGTTAGATTATGTTATTTCCATTTCATCGTAATTTATATGCCTACCTGAAAGTTAAAAATATTCATTGAAATGAAAACGTACTAAAAAAGTGAAAAATCTATGAGAAGCAGTCATCCTGTTTCCCATTGGAAGGGAGGGGAGGCGAGGAACATTTGGCAACCCTTTGTAGAGAGGAAGATATTTATTATCATAACAGAACTAAGTGTAAAGATATGTCAAAATTAGAAAAAGGGGAAAGAATAGCTTAGTTACACTTTAAATTGGAAATCTCGTTTACTGATCCTTAAATTTCTAGCAAACATTATCTAGTTTGACAAAATGCAGCATTTCGTTTCAGTTTTTGATGAAACTTTAGCCGTATCTAGCTTTACTTGAGTTAAAAACAAAATTCAAAAGTTTTAGTCTTACCTATTGTGTTTCTGTCTGAAATGTTAGACGATTAAAATCCAACAAAACCTTGTTGACTTTTTTATATATCAAACCCGATGTAATACACCTATCCAACGTAAACAGCTAAAATGATCATTGTTACAGTTTAATATTAAATACATACAGTGGCTCGAAAAATAATTTGTCCACCTATATAGTGTGACCTTGTTTTTGTGTGCCATTCCAAAAGAAAACAAGATAGAGAACTCGGGCAAATGTCATCGTGTAGACCAGTATCGATAGTCTATAAACAAATACTTCGAGCTTTTTATCTCCTATTTTATTAGCAAAATAGTAAAAAAATACATGTTTTTCTACAACGCAAAATCAATCATCCAGGAATAGAAAAATTTTGTATTTCGAAAAAACCCTTAGAAGACATTCTATCAGCGAGTTCTAGGACCTATAACTAGGGTATAAGTAGCTTAATGAGTTTGCGGGTGTTAATTAATTATCATGACGCTAAAAAAGAAAGACTATTCGAATGATCTTCGAACACTGGTAATTAAACATTATTTGAACGATAATTCGTAACGTCAAATTGCCACAAAAATATTAATTCCACGATCTACAGTTGAAGCTATGGATATAAAATACACAAAAACAAAATCTATTGGTAATTTATTCGGTCGAGGTGGAAAACGTAAAACAACAGCAAAAACTAATCGAATAATCCAACAGAAATTAAAATCAGATGGCGAAAATCAGCGATCACAGTGAAAGCCAAGATTAAAAATGAGTTAGGAATACCAATACATGAAGATACAGTGCGTCGGCGAACACATGAAGTTGGTTTACTTGGTCGAGTTACGCGTAAGAAATCTTACGTCAACAAGATGAATCGTGATAAGCGAATAAAATATGCAACAGAAATGTTAAAGAATGAATTTGAATTTTTGGGACAGTGTCATCTGGTTCGACGAGTCGAAATTTAATCTATTCGACTCAGATGGTACAATTATGGTATAGAAAATGCCGAAGGACCAAAATGTATAGTATCAACAGTGAAGTACGGCAATGGCAGCGTGATGGTGTAGGCATACTTTAAACAAAAAGGCGTTAGAAACCTATTCATTTTGGATCGTAAGATGGATAGATTTTATGTGATATATTGCAACAAAATTTATTGCTATCAATTAAAAAATGAAACCTCGAAGAACAAGTCATATTTATGCATGACAATGGTCTAAACACACTTCAACTTTATTTAAAGATTATTTGAAAGAAAAAAATGAAAACCTTGTTCTGGCCACCATATTATCCCAACTTCAATCCCATAGAAGATCTATGAGATGAGCTGGTGAGAAGAACGAAAAACATCAGTCAAAGAACAAAGAACTTAGGCGGCTATTGGTGGAGGAATAGAGTTGCCTGTGTTAGATACACTTGTTGATTCTGTTCCAAGACGATTGCATGAATGTATCAAGATGAAAGGTTATCCAAAAAAATATTCAATTTTCTTTAAACTCTTTGTTATTAAAAAATTGTTTTTCTATTTCTGGACGACTGATTTTGCGTTGTAAAAAAACGTGTATTTTTTACTATTTTGCAAATAAAATAGGAAATAAAAAGCTTCAAAGTACTTGTTCATAGACTATCGATGCTGCTCTACACGATGACATTTGCCCGAGTTCTCTATCTTGCTTTGTTTTGGAATGGTACATAAAACAAAGTCACACTGTACAGGTGGACGATTCATTTTTCGAGCTCGTTTTTCATTTATATCGTTAGTTTATTGCAAGGGACGCCTTTGAAAAAGGGGTGCGAAATAGAACATACGCGTCAATGATGATTTTGCTATCTTACGATCGATTCATTTTTCTTTTGTGTTGCCATACTTTCAGCTGATTGTTTGTATACTGTCTGTATGTTCCATCCTTTATTTATTATTATCGCCTGAGACTAACGGTCCAGTACCATAGCTGGACGCTAGATGGCGCTGATCTATCTCTTGAACTTCATTTGATGGTACGTGCTCGTTTAAACAATTATGTAATAAATGTTTTTTCTTAGATCTACTGAATAACTCACTGCGAACTTGTGACAAAATAAAAATTAGCTTTCTGTCTCAGATAGAAATTTCATACAATCGAATCACGCTTTTTCAAATAACTTTTTCTTATTGGCGCAACTTCCAAAAAACGAAAACATAATGAAAATTTTTTTAATAAGAGTTCTGCTGGAATTTGAAATATACTGTAACGTTCTCCATAAAATTCTGCATCTTTTGATGTATATCTCAGAATTTTAGAAGAAATACTTGCGAGAAAAATTTTTGAAGTAAAATATATGTGAAAACATCGAAAAAATCCTTTTTCTGACAGACCTCTGCCGTTGTACTTTTTTAATTCGAAGCAACCTAAACGTTTTCACTGTTCAACTTAACAGTCACATCATTCTTTTCAGAATTAAATTTAATTGTATTTTAATTTAATTGTATTGTATCAAATAATTCTATTAATATGTATTCTACATTCAATGGCATGAGAATAAACGTTTCATAGACCAAGTCTAGCTTTCGAAAGTATGATTTTCCAAAATACATCCAAAAATACCAATAGATGTTAGTTCCAAGTCTTTTTCTCCTTAACGAAAGCATCAGGAACCTTGAAAAGAGCATAAAATTCTCTATCTGTTGACATAAAATACTTTACTTTTAGCATCGAACTTCATGAGCATAGGCTTACACAAATAGATGTTTGAAGAAAATAGGAGATTACAGTTGGACGATTGAGTAGATGTTAATCTTTTAAATTTTGCGCTAACAAGAAAATTTTATTTGAAAAACAAAGTCGACAGTTTAGTAGAGCAATGAATTCTCTATCGAATGAACTAAAAACCAGGTTTTAAAATGATTTTTAAGTGCCTCAAAAACAGAAAATATAGTCGGTCTGTTTTATTCGACTCACCCGTTAGTATCTAGAAGACCAGTTTTCGAAGCTTTTGTATTGTAGAGTGCGATTTTTCTTCTACCATAGTCGAAGTTTTTTTTAAGCTGAAATTTTAAGCTGAAAATCTTATTATTCTCAAATATTAACTATACGTCTCCTTAACTCTAAATAACATCCGCTGCTTGAAGATTGTCATAAACTGCAATAAGAGATATTGGAAATTAACCTTTTCGATTCCATCCTTTTGAGTGGTCTTTTTAGTAAAATGTATCTCTTTCTTGCTTTTGCAAACTTAAATGTCTGAAATTTTAATTTTTTTAGAATTTAAGTAAACGATACATGATTTTCTAAAGTTTTTTCAAAATATTCGCTGAACAGTTTTTTTTTTACAAGGTCTTTTTCTATTAAAACGGTTTCATACTCAAAACTGTTTCTGGACCCATATTTCCGATATTGACAAAGTTTTTTCGCATGCCTGGGTGAATATAGCATCGCTCAAAGTTCTTGAGACCTAGATTCGTTTTCTCCTTTATACTAAAAGAAAACAAAAGTTTCCCGTGTAATGTATCTAATGCTTGTTAAATATCAGCTATTTTATAAATATATTTTCTAAATGCATGTATTGTTGACGTTCTTGTTTAATATCAAATTCGTAGGTGAATATGATCACTGCTTTAAGCCAGACTTTGATCACGTAAAAATTATTGTACTGTATACAGTTGTCACTCTGGAATGTGATCTCTATCCGTTAGCTGACAATTTAAATGCAGAAAAAAGTAAAGTAAATGTTCAGAATAGAACATTATTAACAAAATTGGCTATATCTGTTTTATCTTCATCATCATATTTGATCATTAAATTATTGTGAACTAACGAAACGGGTGTGGGACGTTCAGAAGGATTTTTACTCAAACACTGTTGGATAAAATCGGAAAATTCTTTTGAATATCGATCAGTTGGTAATAATGGTGGAATTTCGTTAATAATACATTGAACAAGTTCAAATGGTACTCCCATTGTCATTGTTGAAATATTTTTCTCATTTTGATTTTCTATCCCTGTACTTTTTTCTTTTTGAAAAGGATATTTTCCTAAGCCTAACTCTAATATGGTCATACCTTAATATTACAAAAACCCCATTAACTACATAAAAGAGAAGAGTGAATCTATTCGCTTACCCACACTCCATACTTCCGATTGTACACTGTAATCACCTCCTCGTGCTCGTTCTGGTGCCATGTATTTATATGTGCCAATAAATGTTAGTAATTCTTGACCAACTGTTTCTAATATGCGACTAACTCCAAAATCGCATAGTTTAATATTACCTAATAGAGAAAAAAAGATGCTAATGATTTTCTACTTTATTAGAATTCACTTTGATTATTTAACACTTATAGCAATTCATTCCTCTTT